AAAAAACCCAACACAGCACCCCCCCCCCCCCCCCCCCCAACTCCAAACAAAACAACAAAAAGTCCCCTATGGGTCCTTGTACATAGGAGACAAGTTTGGGATTTTCCACTATTCCAAAACTCTAAACAACTGATCTATTTTTTCCTCAGCATCCCAAAACACAGGCACAAAAGTCTGAGATGTTTACTGCTGCAAACAGGGTTTGAGTGGAAATCATTACGCAGTTCCAAACTCTGCAATCACTACTGTTTTTTAGTATTCTGACTCTTTTTTCCTTATGAAAACAAGCTCTGGAAAAGAAAAAAACCCAAACAGATTAAACTAATGAGGAGTCAAGTCAAGGTAATGTACATATTTTCACTGAAAAGGCACCTGCTGCAGGGTATCTTGTTGCAAGGTGGGCATTGACGCATCCTTGCATTCAGAAGTAGCTCCCATCATGGCCCCAGCGAGGATCAGCACTGAGGCAGGGAAAAAGTAGGCCTGATGTAGCTTTTCAAATTGATGCTGCTTGTGGAGAGGAACAAACAGCTCATCTCCAACCGAGGGGCTGACTCTCGTCATTTATTCATGGCCAGCCCCCTGCCTGGATGGAAATAAAAATGTTTCAAAGATGACTGTGTGGGGGAGCTGGAGGACAGCTTGGAGGCACACTGAGGTTAGCACATTAATTTTTTATCTCTGGAGACTGGGTATCCAATTATGCTTAGAGTACACAAACAACTTTGGCTGGTCTCTCCAGTGGAGATTTATCCACATCATAAAATCTGCGATGGAACTGGGCACAACAGGCTGATGCCATGAAATAACATACACAGGTGGTTTTGCAGGTCAGATGCGCCAGCTCGCAGAGTGACAGGAGGGCACAGGACTACATTCTCATTAACTACGTGTATTGTAGGATGGACCAAGCTGCACACGGCAGCCAGGCCAGCAACGGCCCGCACAATGTGCTTTATTTAGCGTTGTCATTGGCCAAAGTGCTTGTAGGCATAAGATCTGTTAAGCTGCTGTTTACTGCACAGCTGCCTGTAACCAACGTTTCACACAGCAAGACGCCACTGAAAACTCTTCTCCTTTAAAGGAGAGGAAGTTTTCTCCATGTAGACACACTATCCTATTCTCCCAGGAATTAAGGAAGAGCATTTACACTAGTACACTCATTCACACACACATTTCAATAGATAGAAGTCTAATGTAATTCCTATATCAGAAGTGTCTCAAAATCTGTGAGCACCAGCTGCCCCCAGAGCTGGCCTGTGCCCATGGAGTGAGATGGAATAAAACAGCAGGTGTTTTGTGGCAGGCTTGGATGCATCCTGGGCTCACAAATCTCACGCTCTCGGTGCCAACATGCAGAGGAAAAGCCAGCAGAAAAAAAGGCTGAGAATGCTGTGAAATGAAAAAGATCATTTCTTTTTATCAGTGGAGTTGGGGAAGGGGAGAGTTGACTTTTTTAAGGGTTTTCTATAACTTCCTTTTCACAGGTCCATACTTAGGTAAAGAATACCAGACAGTTGGTCAAAAATAAATGTGTGTGTAGGCAGAGGCAAGACTAGGCACTGAGGAAGGGCTATTTATCTGTGTCAAAGGGCTAGATAAGAGATACAAACAAAGCAACTAAAGCTCAAACAAAGCACAGGCTAAGATGTTTTAGGAAAGGCAAAGGCCAGAGAAGACCATTGAACCATCCTCCATGTTGCAAAGGGTAATCTACAGGTGAGGAAGAAGGACAGAAGGAAAGAGCGATGTAAGTAAACAAACGTTGTACAACAGTCAAGGGCAGCAAGATGTGCCAAGGAGGCGAGACCTGGGGCTTGGGCCAGTCCTCATTCTTTGATACACATCTATTCAGCCGTTCTCAGTTTCAGGTAGGTTCCTCCTATCTATACCTCTTTTCCAGTCCCTGTATAATTTACTGAACTACCCAAATTGGTCTGTGCGTGAGGAAAAGACTAAAGATAAAGGGGACTGGGTGTGCAGAAAGACAAGAGGCCATCAGCTCTTGAGCCGGCACCAGCCAGGGCATCAATAGTTGAATCCTGCAGAAGCCCTGCTCCAGAAAGCTCCCTCCTGCATCAGCACAGCTGCTGTTACCACAGGTACTGCAAGGAGCGGAGGTTGCAGAGGAGATGCGGGTACGAAGGAAGGAAGTTCATGCTGCAAACGGCTGCCTGAACTTTGCTGACCCAGTGCTCACCTCCCACAGCACAGCAAATTCCAAGTGGCTGGTTTGGATTTGCCTTGCCTTTTCTAAATCAGGCTGCTCATATCTCTCTGACAGACTGCTAAGCAAATAACCAGACCCTGCTCTATACCGTATCTCTGGTCCTCCTGCTCAGTAGATTGCGGATTAGCTGTTTGGATTAACATCCCCCCCATCTTCCCTCCCTCCCTCCCCCCCACCCCTCAAGCCCATGCAGAGAGGATTCTTGAAGCCAGAGCCCTGCGACACTGCAGACCTGTCAAATCTAATTCATAACACATGCCTAGCAGTTCTTAGGGGAGAGGAAGGATCTGATGCCCTGGCTCCCCACCATCCCCCTGTACAAAGGGACCATTTAATGACTGCACATTAGCAATGTGGACAATTAGCATTCACATGGAAGATAAATGGCAGCATAAATTAAATATCGCCAAGTGAAAGAGCAAAGATGCAAGATCTGAGCTCAAGGCTGTAAACAAACAAACAGGCAAAAAGGAACAAACAGCCACTGTGACAGCTCAGCCATTTGGGAGAGTTACCTTCCGGCGTCTGGGACTTTCCCCAGTGGTGATCTTCACATTTGCATGGCTCTTGCCCGTACCTCACTGGCTCCTGGCTGGTTGTTAAGCAGATTCTTTCTGCTCAGGAATCTGGACCTCAGAGTGGTTTACCCCACTCGCTCTAAACTTCTGCCTGTTTGGGGATCTGTGCAGCAGCAGCTTCCCTCTGCCACATGCATCACACAGGAGCTCCAGGGGAACACAAGCCCCAGCAGCTCCTGCTGTACCCTTTCCCACAGTGTAGAACGCACCTTTCTTTCCATCAGCCAAGGCCAGCTGCTCCTAACCTTACCACAGCTTTTCTAGCTCCTCTTCTTGCTAACTTCTATCATTTCCTAAGCACCAGAAACATAAGGATTGAGGCTGTTCTTGGCCTCTATGACAAGTTGAAGGGCAGGGGACACTACCCTTCTTTGTCTGGGCATCTGTGCAAGGCCATCGTCAACATTAATCCAACATAGATTTGCAATATGCCTCTCAGATATGCAACTATTACTGACTACTGCAGACACAGGAAAAAAAAAAAAACACACACACAACAGAGATGATGTAAATGCTAAGTAAACAAAAGCTACTGGCAGAACACTGACATTCTCCAGCCTGCCCAAGCAGTCACTCTTAGTGCATTGACAGCTCAAGTTTATCAACAGCTGGAGGAGTCAAAATTACTTTTGCTGTGAACCTACAAAACATGTGAATAACTAAAAGTTAGAGCATAAAGTGACAGAAACATAGGGACTGCCAAATGGGATCACACTAAACAGCCCTTCAAGCTCAGACAGTGGCTAGTAGCAGATGCTTTGGAGGAAGGAAACCCCCTCCCATACCTCCCTGGGGACAATTATCAATTATTCTGCTTAGAAAGAAAATGTTTTCCTACTTCCATATTTCTTCCAGTTCTTCTTAATGTATTAGAAAGTGCTTGCCTGGATTATTTTTCCCCATAAGCATTTTATTGCTTTGTCCACGTTGTTCATTACTTTGAACTAAAATGACACAGTTCACATGGTGATCTGAAAGGACTTTTTGAAAGTGAACAAAGCTATCTACACAAATCCCAAGGTGAAAGCAAACATCACATAGTATTGCACACTAGAAAACTGAGAAACAGGGGCTTAGAGACTTGCAAAAATCAGTAATAAAACACAGTCTCCTTGACTCCCAGTTCTGTGCCTAAGAAGCAGAGGAAGGACAGTCAAATAGGGCCATCCGGACCACTAAGATTTTTTTCACTCTGTACCAGTGTGGAGAATCTAGGCACATAACTCTTCTCTCCTCTCATGTTCCAGATCTCCTCCTCACAGATCAGTATTGATGCTTTTTCATAGATTTTCCCAAACTGTAACTAAGAAGCAGGCTTTTAGTAAAGTTAAAGTTTAGTAAAGTTTTAGAAAAGAGGGTAAGTCATTTGGGGAAGAGATGCAGGGATAAGGGGGACAGGTGCTGTGAATTTCATACCTAATAAACTGAGACATGGATAACTGTCTCCTATTCAAAGGCAAAACAAAAGCAGCCCCCTCAAACTACTGGATGTGTATTTCCTTGACATCCCCGCTAACAGCCACTGGGAGGCTGCTTGATGATGGGCAGGTTGGGCATCTCTTCCTTTCCTCCCTCTCCTTGCCACCTCCTCCCCACGGGAGCAGTAATGGAAAAGTGACTTGCTGCAGAGATAATGCTGGGTTTGAAATGAATTTCTGACTAGCTGAGCCAGCACCCGTGTGAGCTGCGGCTGATTAGCTCTAAGCATCCAGGTCCCAATCACTCACAATGGAGCCAGGCAATCACGCCAGCATCCACAAGGCAACGACAGGGTGGAGGCAACATCCCTGAAAAGGATCTCAAAGGCAAAGGGAAAATACTACTCACGTTTGTGGTTTTCATTTCTGTGGTGGTCTCCTGCTCACGGGCTTCATCACCCTCTTCACTGGCGAGGTGGGTGTGAGCGTAGTGGTAGCTCAGCCCAGGCCTGTTCTTGTAACGCTTGCCACAGACTGGGAGGAAAGGAGACAGGAGGGAGGGGAAGAGAGAATGGAAACATCAGTGTGACCTGCAACAAGGGCAGCATCCTCTCAAATAACGCTCCCTTCTCCCCGAGAGCAGCACCACACATTCCACGTGCCCGCCCAAAACTCTTTCAACCGACGTTGGTGAAAGGTGACAGAAAGACAGCCCTGCAGCTGCAGGTCCCCAGACAAGCTTTCTTCCCACCATGCTGCCAGCAGTCCTTCCTACAGGCCTAGGCAAATGCACATTCAGTCTCTGCAGCTCATACAGCCCTAATCCTCTCTGCTAAGATTACTAACAAGATTGCATATAAAATTAAATGAAATGCCAGTTCTGACATTGGTGCAGCATAATGCACAGCAATGGGAACAGGACTGAGAAGAAAGGACATTATTTTCTTCATTACTGATCTCTGAGAAAAGGAAACAGTTTTGGTTTGTGTTTGTTTTGTTGGTTTGTTTTTTTTTAAAAAAAAAGGTTTTCTGTAAAAGGGTAATAAGTAGCTGTATTCACAGATTCCTAGTCAAGACAAGGAGATGGAAATCATCCACCGTTTCTTGCTAGAAGAACATGTAGTAGTGATACTTATTTGCCCAGGTAAGCTTCATATTCAGCATCCCAATAAATAATACAATGTGTAACAGAGAATCCTCCTTCTGAACTTTTGTTTATTTTAGTCAACAGATATTAAGAACAGGATCAAACAATTCAGGGTGATGAAAGGTCTACATTTTCACAGGGAGCTCACCACAAGGGCAAGCTTCATCTTAAGATTCATTACATACAAATTCAGCTTCTATAAAGTTTTTAATTCATGTTATTGTCTATAAAAGTTATCTGTTTTCATCTTCAAAGCAGGCTCTGAACGTCCATTTTCTTATACAGCCATTTTAGCTACCAAATACAATTATTGCCATCTTAAAAGATTAGGCAACAAAGGCAAAGAAGCTTAGTGCCCTTCCTAAAAATTTTTACTCCCAGTCACATTTTCAGTCACTTTATTAGCTTCATCAACCTCAAGGATTTCACAGAGGAACAAACGTCATGCCCAGTAGTCTGTCCTGCATCGCTTGCTTAGAAAGGTGAAGGAAGTGGTACCAGAAGAGAGAACAGAACCCAGCAGCCTCTAGTTCTCTGTCTTGTTTTTAGACCCCTTGGACAAAATCTCCAAGGGGGAAGTCACCATCTACTCCTAAAACCTTCACTCAGCTCCGATACTGAAAATGTATCCTACAATGTATATAAATACTTACTTCCCATTCCCCAGACACCTGAGTCTGGGAATGTCATAAGGCTCCAAAAATTAAAAAAAAAATTAAAAAAAGACCTGCCCCAATTATTCATTTACATATAAGTAAAACTTCTATTATTGTACTTTCCTGCTACTACTTACAAAAAGCCAATTGATGGTCCACATTCTGGAAGAGATGATAGAAAATTGTAAATCAAAGCCTAACACGATAACATATTTCATTCTCCATCTCTTCTAACTGATTTACAAACTCCCTCAAGGAAAATATTTTGCCTTATTGGAAATGTGTAAAACAACCTCATGATACGAATGAGATGAGTGATCTGGAATATTGGATACTTTTATCCCAGTTTTCTCCATTCTGCAAGGTGATGATCACACAGTCATCATAACAGGACAAAACCTTTTCCCAAAGGTAACATGTCCTCAGCCACAGATTTTTTTAAGTCTTTGAATGCCCTTCATTTAGAAATGAGAAATCCTGCAGGAGGGAGAGAGGAAAGTTGGGGAGAAATAAAATGCCCAGATACATATGCACATCCATTCTTTGAAGGATCCGCCCTCGTTTCATACGTAAACCTAACTCTAGCGCCAGACATTTTGAACAACTAGACTGCTGTTAGATGCATGCTCTCCACAAAACATCAGTCCCGTCTCCCTTCTTCTAGTACCAGTCATGTATTCTTCTAATGCATTCTGAAGAGGCAAAATACTCCTTCTCCTCTGCAGCCCTACAGAGCAAAGGACAAGCAGTGGAAGAGATGCTGACAGAAAGTCAAACAACAAGATATGCACAGTTCTGTATGACTTTGTCTCTACTTTCCGAATAGCAGAAAAGGTGTAACACGAAAGTAATCATCAAACCGGAAAGAACTACAAAATACTCACTGTTTAAATTATTTCCGAAAGATAACTCACTCCAATTACACACATTTTACAGCATTTCTCAGCATGGAGAGAGAGATTTACATTTCTAGCAGATTATTTGAGTATCATACTAAGTATCCTACTCTACCCTCCTTACTTGTGTGCATTTGAAAATGAAAGTTAAAAAATAATTCTTGTGCTATGAATTACTGATATTGCTCAAAAACTTCTGTCAAATTATTTTCAGAGCACTATCAGGTGATCAGTGTTGTACTGACAAAGGAGGATGCATTCGGAGTTAATATCTAGATGATACATACTATCCAGCTCTATCTTGCTCTTATACAGCTTGATCCTGCGTTAATGCTAAGCTAGCTGCAAAATCAGATAAACTCTAAAATCCAGTCCCATTTACCTATTAGAGGGAGTTTTAAATTTCAGAACAAAAGTATTTCTAGAATTTCTACTGGGTTTCATTTCATTCAGTTCTATCTGAAAATATACCCACAATTTTAGCTTGACTGTTGTTACCTGACAAAAGCACCATGTCCTTGAACATAGGTCTCATGCATCTTTCTCCCTCAATTCACAGAAGGAAACTTGCATTCCCTGCAGGAAGTCCGAAGGCTGCGGCCTTGCCTCCATTCCCTACAGGATCCTGCAGGGATTTTAGCTGTGGAGTTTAGGATAGCATAGGAAATCAGATGGCTTTGCAGACTTGCCCTTCTCCAGCAAAAAAGTATCAGCTCACCCGGAAAAAACAGCAAGTATCTATATATGCTGAGGCAGAAGTAATTCTGCAGCTGAGCCCCTCCCACTGCCAAAACTCTTTCAGATGGCCTTCAAGGGTGGCAGCAAGCTGAGACATGCCTAGCTAAAAATTTGGAGGACTTTATAACTAGAGCTGAGGCAAAGGAGTTCTGTTCACACAGTCCCAGCAGATCCTTTGTAGGACCAGAGATTTGCAGCTTCCAGTAGCTTTTTCTCTTGATGTCTAGACTTTTCCGCCTTTCAAATTCATGTTCTGTCATGGAAAAAGTCCGAAGTGATGCCATGAGTTGAAACTGCAGAGATTTCCTGTTCCCCAAGTAAATTAGACTTTTGCAGGGGAAAAAGGGTATCACGTTATTAGTCAGGCAAAAGAACGATTTGCTTTAGTGAGACTTTGCTAGAATAAAAGCTAAGTCAGAACTTCATGGTTTTTCCAACTGATTGAATCTTCCTGAATTCACCCTAATCTCTTATTTTCCAGATAGAGCACAATTTATTAATCTACCATATCACTGTGCTAAGAAGTAGTTTCTATAAAAGGGCAATCATTAATAAACACTTAGCTCTTATATAACTCTTCCCACTGCAAGACTGGCTTTTCAAACATTAATTAATCTTCCTCCACATTCCTGAGTGGGAAATACTATTCTCATTTCACTTCTGAAAAAAAGAGAACCACAGAAGGGTTAAGTGACTTGCCCACACAGTGATCTTTTGTCATTACCTGGACTGAAATTCATGAGTTCCAGCATCCAGACCAGTGCTTACTCCAGGTCTTTCTCATTCTCCTAGCTGACAAAAGCATAATGAGAACTGGTTCTCCCAGTTTGAGTTCTCCCAGTTTGAAACATATGCTGCTGATTAGTTCTTAACACTATGCAGCTCACACATAGCAAGTGAGAGTGTGCCTTTCATAAACTTTGCCGGGTGGCCTTGCCTTTCTTTCAGCAGCTTTGACTTTTTTTATCTTTAATTTTCCTTGCTAGATAGGCTCATCATCCTTGCATGTGGTAGATTTCATTCTGAATCTCAACACTGGGAAGTTGGCTTGATCTTTAATTAGGTAGCCGAGCCCAACGAAAACAGCAGGAGTTTGTAGAACGTAACCCACTCCAATTCCTCCTACAGTCAAAGGATGTATTTTTGCTACAACCTGATGTGAATGCCATTTTAGGAACAAGCTGGGTAAGTAAGAAGTAATATAGCAGTGCAGATCAAACACCACAAATGGAGAAAAGGGAGAGATTTTATTAGGCCACCAGACACTCTTCTATGATGAGCCTTACTTTCCTTCCAATTTGAAGACTGAAACAAAGACGTTACAAAACTGCATTATAGGGGAAAAACATAATTTGCAGACAGTTTAATCACAAGCATTGAGTGTTTCATAAAAGAGAGCTCTGTTCTAAGTTCTGGCCTGTAACAGTCTGCAACTCTTTGGATAAGCAAATTCTCATTCTGTTTACGTTTCTCAATGAGCAAAATTAATATAAAACAGTTCCCCTGCTTTAAAAGGGGATTTGAAATCTATGACTTAAAAGACTTCCTCATCAAATATTTAATGGCTTTGCTGCTGTCATTTTGAAATCGTTACACATTTGGTCCTTGGCAGGCTGTGAGCTATGTTTCAGCCAGCTCTCCACATACATTTTGCACAATCTGTCACCAGCGTGAGACAGAAGGAAACAATCCATGTTTTTAGTGGAAACAGGAAATTTGGGGAGTACATGCTTTTTTTTTGTTTGTTTGTCACTGAATCTTGCCCCCCTCATTGTCTTTCTTTGCTTTTCTCCTTTGCTTCCTGTTCCTTCTTCTCAACTGGGCTGTGTCAAACACTACATCTTAAGTTAACTGCTGGCAGGCAGTCATTCCTCAAAGTTATCTTCCTGTCCCACCATTCGCTCCACTCCAAAAAAAACATTCCTTGTTTTGCACTGGTTTGGTAATATAATCTCCCCTGTTACAGTTATGTCCACACTCTGGCACATCTAGAGATCTCAAATGCTAACAGCGTATTTTGACCTCCGCTGATGGAAAGCATTAGGTTTGTCCCTCTTGGATCAGTACTGTCATAGTATACACCTCTAGTATTAGGGC